CACAAGTACCGCGTAAAGAGAAACTGCTGGCCTATAGTTCGTGGTGTGGCTATGAACCCTGTGGAGCATCCTCACGGAGGAGGAAACCACCAGCACATTGGTCACGCCAGTACGGTCAGTCGCGATAAATCTGCTGGTGCCAAGACTGGTCTTATTGCTGCGAGAAGAACGGGTCGTCTCAGAGGTCAAGCTGCCGCTTCAGCAGCCAAGTCAGTTTAGACTTAATTGCGGCACAAGCTTCTATGTTTTCTTTGATTTTTCTGCTTATTTTATTATTAAACCTAAAGAGTTTGCCGTTTAGTTTATTATAATTTCATTTGGTGTTTAAAGCTTATGCGTTTTGTATTGGATTTACCCTTTAGGGGATACATTATTTTACTATTTTCTTTTGGCAGACCAATTGCGATTTTCTTTTGATTATATCTTATATATAATAGCAAATTGAAAGTGACATCAGCATTTTTTTTATAGGAAAAAAAAAATTTAATCCACTGGTATAGTTAACTTTATTTTAAGATCTAATGTACCAAAAAAACCTTTTCATATGATTGGTGATGTCATCAAATATTTGACAACTCTTCATTGAAAAAGCATATATTTCATTTTAATAGCCACAATCATATTTTTCATACATTTTCATAAGTTTAAATATTAATATTGACTTTTTAGAAGATAATATTTGCATGTGTCGTGACCGAAGAGGTATGAACGTATCGTGATTCAAGAGGTACGAACATGTCGTGACCCAAGAGATACGAATGTGTCGTGATCCAAGATGTACAAATGTGTCATGAACCAAGAGGTACGAACGTGTCGTGACCCAAGAGGTGCGAACGTATCGAAACCGAAATGGTGCGAACGTGGCAGGACCGAAAGGGTGCGAATGTATCGGGACCGAAAGAGTGCGAACGTGTCGGTACCGAAAGGGTGCGAACGGGTCGGGACCGAAAGGGTGCGAACGTGTCGGGACCGAAAGGGTGCGAACGTATCGGGACCGAAAGGGTGCGAACGGTTTGGGACCGAAAGGGTGCGAACGATTCGGGACCGAAAGGGTGCGAACGGTTCGGGACCGAAATGGTGCGAACGGTTCGGGATCGAAAGGGTGCGAACGGTTCGGGATCGAAAGGGTGCGAACGGTTCGGGACCGAAAGGTGCGAACGGTTCGGGACCNGGTGAGAATGTAACGTCATCAAAAAGGTGTGAATATAACATCACCGAAAGGGTGCGAACATAATGTTACCAAAAGTGAACGAACAAAATATCATTGATACTTATGGATGCAAGTCATTAGAGTTAAGGCCGAGCCATCATGAGTGGTAAACATATTGTTCATGGTCGGGTGCTATGGACTATGATCCATGATATGGATCTATGGCTCAAAAAGAAGTGTATATGAAACAACCTTAAAGTTTTATTGTACCTTGTAATAAGTATAAAAATATAGACATTCATATGTATGGTAATGAAAGCACATAGACACTAACATCATTTTTTTTCTTTTTGAAAAATGGAAAGGCATGACTCCTGATGATAAATACTACACACCTATAGAAATGAATATACAATCCAAGGTGTACCGTGTTAAACAAATTATGGAACTACTTTATAAAGTTTGTATGCCAAATTTAAATGCAAACCATTTTTAAAATTAAATATAAAAATAATCAGAGAAGGTTAATTATTTATTTGTTTCCTTAAAAGATACTTTTAAGGGTATTTAACAAATCATAAAATATATTTTTCAAAAATACTCCACATTTCATTTTATTTGGCATTCGCAACCTTTCACATTAATTGAGATTTTTATTAAGATACACAACTTTTTATTTTATTTGGCATCACAACCTTTAGAATTAATTGAGATTTTAGTTAAGATACACAGCCTTTCATTTTATTTATTAAGAAACACAACTTTTCATTTTATTTTTTTAAAGAGGCACAACTTTCCATTTTATTTTGCCTTTACAATATTTCACATTAATTGACATTTTTATTAAGATACAGAACTTTAGAATTAATTGATATTTTTATTAAGACACACAACCTTTCATTTTATTTATTAAGAGACACAGCTTTTTATTTTATTTTATTAAGAGACACAACCTTTCATTTTATTTATTAAGAGAAACAACTTTCATTTTATTTTACATTTACAACATTTCACATTAATTGATATTTATTAAGAGTCACAACCTTTCATCTTGATTGACATTCACTTTCATCTTAATTGGCATTCACTTTCATCTTGATTGACATTCACAACTTTTAGAATTAATTGGGATTTTTATTAAGGTACACAATTTTTATTTTATTTGACATTCACAATCTTTAGAATTAGTTGTGATTTTTATTAAGAGACAATCTCTCATTTTATTTATTAAGAGACACAATCTTTCAGTTATTTCTTTAAAGAGACACAACTTTTCATTTAATTTTGTATTTTCAACCTTTCACACTAATAGAAATTTTTATTAAGAGTCTCAATTTTTTTTATTTGCCATTCACAGACTTTTAAATTAATCAAGATTGTTATAATTAGTAGATTTTTATTATGAGAAGACACAACTCTTATAACTATTTTAAATATTTTTAAATTATTTTTTTCTGAGACACAATTGTTTTTATAATGAAAAGATGCAACTTTTAAACTAATATATTTCATTTTTAATGAAGAGATATAACCTTTCAAAAATTGTTATTATGAGAAGAGACAATTCTTACAACCTCTTTTAAATACTTTTAAACTATTTTTTATGAGACACAAACTTTTTTTATAATGAAAAGATAGAATTTTTAAAATAATAGAAATTATTTTATAAAAAGACACAATTCTATTTATAATAAAAAAATGCAACTTTTAAACTAATTTATTTCAGTTCTTATGAAAAGATACACAACCTTTAAAACTAATATATTTCAGTTCTTTAAATAGACACAACTTTTCATTTTATTTTGTATTTTCAACCTTTCACACTAATAGACATTTTTTATTAAGAGTGTCAATTTTCTTTTTATTCGGCATTCACAGCCTTTGAAATTAATCAAGATTGTTATAATTAGTAGATTTTTATTATGAGAAGACGCAACTCTTATAACTATTTTATATATTTTTAAATTATTTTTTGCGAGACACAATTGTTTTAATGAAAAGATGCAACTTTGAAACTAATATGTTTCAGTTCTTATGAAAAGATACAACCTTTCAACAATTGTTTTGTTTTTCATCTAATGGTCCAAATAATATTTTTATGCAACTTTAAAAATAATATATTTTTTTTTAAATACACAATTATTTTTATAATGAAAAGATGCAATGTTTAAACTAATATATTTAAGTTTTTTTTTTATGAAAAGATACAACCTTTCAACAATTGTTATTTTGAGAAGTCACAATTCTTATACACTCTTTTAAATACTTATAAACTATTTTATCTGAAACATAAACTTTTTTTAATAATGAAAAGATGAAACTTTTAGAATAATAGATAACTTTTTTATGAAACTAGACAATTCTATTTATAATAAAAATATGCAAATTTTAAATTAATATAATTCGGTTCTTATGAAAAGATACAACCTTTCAACAACTTTATTTTTTTGGAAATACACAATTATTTTTATAATGAAAGATGCAATTTTTAAACTAATATATTTCAGTATATTATGAAAATATACAATTTTTCAACCATTGTTTTGTTTTTCATGCAATTGTCCTGCAAATTGTTTTTAGACATACGATATTTATGGCATTAACATATTTTTTTTTTCGAACAACACATCTTTTTACATGAAAGAGTCATACTTTTTCATATTTGAAGGATTACAATCTTTGGTTGTAATTGTTATTTTTCTTCTATTGGTCTTAATAATTTTTTTATACATAAATTAAAATTGCTATGAGCAGTTATTTTCTTTTTCAAACAACACATCTCTTTAATTTGAAGAGTCATACTTTTCCCTAATTCTTGACTTTTTAAATTTTTTTTGAAGAGTTTCAGTCCCGTGGTTGTAATTATTATTGTTCTATCTAATGGTCTTGAAAATGTATTTGGTTGAACTTTTATTTCCTCACAACTCTTGAAAATATTCATTTTAAAACAAAACACAACTCTTGATAATCTATCAATATACCTTTTCAGATTACTATAAATAGAATGTTTTACAGATGCAATTTTTTAAGAAAATTTATGTGTTTTTTTTATATTATAGGTATGATTCTTAGTACTTTTGAATATAATGTTTGATTCATTATATAGTTTTAAACGATCTTTAAAAATTTAATGTGGTGTCTGCAAAAATAATTTAATAGGTTTAGTTTCAGCGAAACTAAACTACCATATCCAAACCAATCTGGCTGTAAGAAAATAACTTTTTTTTTTTAATCTCTTATTCTTCTTCTGATAAAGTCCATTTTTTTTGTTTTTCTAACACAGTTTGTATGGAGGTACTGCGCGTCATAGATTTAAAAATGTCGTTCTTTGCATGTTAATTACAGTGTTTTAAAACATATTATATTATTTAGTTAAAAGGTTTAAACTGTTCCATCATTTCAACAAATTTTAAAAGTTTGTCTTCTCATATATAAAAAATAAAAGAAAATAACTGCGACTTTAATATTAAAGTTTACTTAATATTGTTATGCTAAACACATAACATTTAAATTTATACATTTTCAAACACAAATTATACTTTCACTCTTCTATTATATAACATTATTTTTTAAGTATTGATTTTCGTACAAAATAATTAGTTTATTAAATGATTCAAAATGATTGACTAACAAATATAAATTATATACAAATTACTTTTAAAAAAACATCTTTGGGTGGTTTCCTAGTATATTATAAAAGTATACACAGTTGGTTGAGATATAAATGCAGTTCTTGATATATATCTTGCGATTTGGCGAGTCGATGCTTGTGTGTTGAGACATTTTCGAATGTGTGAGGAGTTTATACTTGTTGTGTTGTCACAAATTGATCTTGTGTGCATGGTGTCTTGCTGTAAAGGTGTTGTTGGTAGAGAGACAAAAGACATCCGTGAGAAAAGTGATATTATCGTAGCTGAGAATTGAGCGATGGTGATTGTGCAGTATTGATGATGATGATACTCTGTAGAGATAATGCCAGTGTTTTGGACGGCTTTATTCTTATTGGCTTTCCAAACAATTTTAATCCCTTATATATTAATTTTGAAGCATTACAACATATTTTGGTAGT